ATTGTATGGCGTCGGACGCCTCCACGACTCGTCGTCGTCGTCATCCTGGGCGTGTCCAGGTGCGGGCGGGCCGACATGAGCGGGTGGCATCTGCATACAACTCAGCGGATGCGGACGGGTACGAGCGGCACAACCTGGCGCACATGGGATGGGTGAGGGTGGACTGACGCTTGTGGAGGCGCCCAGTTGCGCGAGAACATGCTCGTAAGCGCAGGCATGTCGGTCGTCGGAGGCGACGGACGCGGCGCGAATTCGGCATCGAGGCGGATGCGAATCTGTTCACGGCCAGCCTGAGCAAAGAAAGCACGCTCCTGGCGCTGGAAATAATAGCTGGTTGGTCCGCCCTTGAGCTCAGAGAACTGGCTCGGCGGTGGCGGCGGGAACATCCGCATGAGATCGTGACCAGTCGGCGGTGGAGGGTATGCTCTAGGCGCTACGTTCATAGGGGTACCAGGCTGGCCCTGCGGTAGATTTACATCCGGAACGTGGACATTGTGTCCATTAGTAGGACCACAGTGAGCACCGCCGTACGATGAGCCCGATGAGGATGATGACGGCGATGGGCTGGGAGGCGGGCCGTAGCGAGACGGACGGCGAGTAGCAGAGGTTGCGTCGCGCATGTTGACAGGGCGAAGCGTGAACTGGTGTACTGCGGCCATGGTGTGTGCGTGTGTGCGAAGTGCGCGTCCGCGGTTTATATACCCGCGGGCCTGATTGATCTATAGGGTTTCCATCAGACTAGTGTCTGGAGATGCTCAGCCTTATCCTTCCTGCCGACGGTGCGTACACCTTCTGACTCTAGGGATCTCGTTCCGGAGGCTCATACGTCTGTGATTGCCAGACTGTGCACAGTTCACACGGACTCTTGCGGATGAGCTCGGAGACGAGAATGAGGCGAACGTGAAGTTCAAGAAGTACGGCCGGCGGCAAGTGGACTTTTGCGTTAAGTTCAGTGTGCGCGCTTCTAGACGGTGCGTTCTTCGTCTTGCTCTATATGTCGCAGTGCCATTCTGACATTCTGACATTGAGTCTCGTTCCCGTAGGAGTACCTCTTCCACACCGGCTCCAGCTCCTTCGACTTCTGCTGCCGCTTTAGCGCCGGTCAAGAGGAAGTTCAAGCTTGCCGTATCGGGGTCGTCGTTGCCCAGCGCGTCACAACTACACCGCGCTTACGATTAGCAACACCCAAAATGGCGTCAAGCCGCGGGCGGTAGGCCCGCTGCTTGCCATTTACCACTAGCCGGGATCCAGCCGGGACCGACTAAGGGTCAGATGGCGGTCTACTACTACTACTTCGCTCCGCCCGCATTTTCTCCCATTTCCCCGTCATCCTGGATGAAGTCTTGGCCCATTCCAGTGGACCCTTTTCTCGACACGTTGACCCTACCGCACATTATTCCGTCTAATCACGCCCATGCCCGAATCTTCATGCCGCATTGCTACATTCACTTACAATGATCCCACGCTGTACTGTACATTTTATTTGCACGACTCCGTCGCTACATGCACTAGATACACTTCTCATGCTATCCTGTACGGACTTTCTTGCTACAGAGAGACTGCTGTTCTCAACAGCTACTGGCAGCGCCAACTAAGACTCAGCTTCATCCAGTCTGTCTTATCCCATCTACACGGGCCGTCAGTATGACTTTCTATCCAGGCTATCCTTACCATCGTCACGCAGTACTTCGAAGTACCTTCGGTGAGGTGCAGACGCCTGGCGCGGCAAACTCCGTCTGAGCTTCAGGGGCGCACGGAGCAGCCGCGCGAGTTGTTTCTGACTGTCATCTCGCCCTCTGGATCTCTTGAGGTCGCTACCGCTGAGACCACCGCACAAATACTATTCTCCAGAAGAACGAAACCATGGCCACGCGGTTATTTTGTTTGGCGCCCCGAGGTCGCGACGCGTGCACTGCAGTTTGCTGCCGCCCCAACTTTCGCTTGACGTTCATCTGAGTTCACGTCTATCGAAGCTGTCTGCTTGAGGGCTTCAACCTAGGGTGACAGCACACATTTCGGCTACTACGACTTGCGGCACTCTCGAGACCGGAAGCCTTCTGGGCAGTAGGAAACGAAGCTCATTGGCGCTTGATCGGCGCTATCGATGACTCCCACCACTGGCGCCATGAAGTCGCGCAGGATACTACGAATGGCTACCGACGAGAAGGGCATACAGGTTTTCGATGCCGCTGCGGAGGGTGACGTGCCAGACACTGCGATCGTACGCTTTCTTTCTATCTATTGAATATACCCTGGCATTGACACTCCCGTACCAAGATGCAGTGCCTTCTCCTCGCGAGCCCGAGACTAGAGTTTTCTCCCTCCTTTTGAACTAAGTAAGACTTGTCGCGCGTATCCTAGAGTGGGTCACGCCCTCGCATACGCCTTCTTCAAACACCCGAACCTAGTCCATACCGACCACCCCACACATCTTCCGGCCGTGCTGGAGAGAAGGCTGGTCGACGTGAGTCCGGTGCTAAGGATACCTGTATGTTCGTATCGGGTGAGTTGAAACTCGTGTTCTTGAAGAGGAGCCGAACCTGATGCGTGACAGGGAGTACGCTCTACACTCGCGAGAAGTTCATCTTCCATCCCGCTTGAACCTGCGGGAGCAATAACACGACCATGATACGCGTAGTATGCGTCTTCGCTCATCGGCGCTAAATTCCTCTTCTGACGAATAGGCAGGAACTTTCGAGACCTGGCGGGGTATCTGACTGGACTCTCGAGAGTCCAGAGGGGCATACTTGCCTGTTTCGGTCAACTCCCCGCTCGTTCCTCTCTGTGATATGCGCCAAAAAGCAAAGCGTAGATTCCTTGCGCACCAAAGCATTGATCTGAGTGCTTGTCGAGCGCGCGGAGGGGGGGGAGTCGGAATGCTGGGGACCGGTGCCGCGCTTGTCTACGTTTCCGATGAATAGCCACATACTGTACGACATGCGCTATAACTAATCCCAGTTGCGATGCCGTAGCGTCATGAGCCGACGGCTCGTGTATATACACAGTATTCAAAGTCATACTGTTGCACCAGGACGCAGGCCACCATCCCAATCAACGAACCTGTTCAATCAATCGCTATCACAAGCGACTGTTCGTACGGCGATTCTTCGGTTTATTCTTCAATTTCGCTACTCAATTATGCATTCATCATATTCTCTATGGGCCTGTTCGATGTGAGCCTGTTGAAACAGCCGTATCGTACATTCATCGCAGGATTCAGGTGGACTCATCAAGACCAAGCACGCCAACTAAAGCGTTGAGCATTCCATCCACTGCATCCAACGGACGCGGTGAGTGACGCATCATCTTTGTGCAGTGAGGATACGGACAGCCCGTGAGAATACGTGAAGCCGAAATATCCATGGCCTTGCGAGCGCAGTCCTGACACACGGCGTGTTTGCAAGCTTGAATTCTAATGCGTGGCTTAGTGTGCACCAGAGTACGACGGTCTCTTTCTTACATGCAAGGAGAATCCATTGTCTTTGCACAGACTGGACAGCTGAGATAGGTGCGAGCCTGAGTCTGTAACTGCGATGGGTAAGTCGCAAGCTCATCCAGACCATGATTATATCACAGTAGCTCACTTCCGCCGTCAACTTCAGTACATTCTCTACATCCGTAATGGCGCCAGCAACTCGTTTCTGTACGGCTCTTCTCTGCGTCTCAACATCCCAAGCTGCCGCGGTGGTCTAATACCCCACCAGAACGTAAGTCCACCAGTCTCTATGCGGAAGATGATGAGCGCGCACCGTTTTCGTGTCACGATCCTTGATGTCACCGGTGGTTAAGATCTTCACACAATCCCTCTTCGTGGAGTCGAAACGGTTGCGGATAGAGTAGAGGGTGGTCAACAGCGAGTTGGTCATACCGCTCCAGTACGCGAGTTGAGGCGCGACGATGGAGGAACATAGGCTTTAAGGATAATCGATGGCCTCGGACCTCCTGATCCGCATCAGCACCAGGATGCTTCGCCGGAGCATGAGAAAGTTCTGCCTTGCTTTGTTTGCGTCGCCGTATGGAATACTCCGAGTGTCGCCAATCACAGCTTCTGTGAGGCATCATTTTGGGGAGTTGACATAGAAGTTTTCATAAGCAGCATGTTCAAGATAGCTTCTCGCACCTTACAGGTGAAGTGGGCCTGGTAAAACGAGCGCAATTTGTCTCGGACGTCTATAGTACGATGGATTTTCGTTGGGTCATTCTGGAGAGTACATCGGTTCCTGATGCCTAATGCCCGATTGTTGAAGATCGTTGAGCACCGGGAGATTAGCGATCTTCCTGAGGCCTGATTCCTTGTTCGGGCCGCGTGGTTCGATCTTTGTTGCTTTGTTCTACGATCGCAAGGCAATCACCTCGTTCTCCATACCTTCTTTCGGTCTTTCCCGTCTCGAACACGCGTGTTGCGGCTTATAACTTACACACGACGCGCCGACGATCCAAAGTGCGCCTGTTCAGGATGTTAGCTAGCCGGCTGAGTTTGCTCAAAGACTTTCTATCTGGTCATCCCTTCAAGGAAGATACCATCATGCATCCACGCCACTCCTTGGGCATTCCAGGTATGGAAAGATCAAACGTAGTGAGTGGTCTCGCTTTGAACTCTCTTGATATGAAGTGTTGATTGCTCAGGCCGAGCGCACCGCTGTAGTAGAGAAGGCACTGGTTGCGGACATAGACAGGGGCCTATTGTGTGCAAAGGAAGAGCTACGAGACATCCTAGCTTCACTCCAAGTCGTCAGTCCGTCTACGCTTAGGCTTTGGGTGTATTCCTGACACGCCTTTACGTTTCACAGTTGGAGAAGGCTTGTGACTCCTTTCTCAAGTGCCCCAACTGTGGCCAATATGCCAAGACTCCTCTGTCGTTAGTCCCACTCAGAGTCCTGACTACTGCGACACTCACCCATGATCATGACCAGTGCCCAGTTTTGCAATCACACCTTTTGTCCGCCCTGCTGGACTTCGTACCTTCGAGCGCAGCAAGATAAAGCACGAGGGATGCCATTCTATCGCTGCCCGCAGATCGGCTGTCGGGACTTAATGTCCGAACCCCCAGCTGAGGTTCCCGTTTTGTCATCCTTAGCGGATATAGCGTACACAATACTTAAAGGCGGTGGCGGATACAGATGGTGCATTGATCGCGCGGGTTCACTGGACAAGTTCTTCTCTCACTGATTCGGCTGGCCTGCCACGTGTACCCACTCTCTACGATTACGCATGCATTGACAGTGGAGAAATCACTCATCCCGATTAGGCGATCATAGCTTCATCGTCGAGCGCTAGGCGCTACTCGCCAGGGTGTTACCACATGTCCAGGCGCGCAAATCGACCATCGTACAATCATAGATAGACTACGAATCCAGTGGCAGTGCAGCGACAGAGACGCTCTGTCGGCACAGAGGTTGAGCAAGTTCGGTCAAAGTTCACATCCTAGTGTGTCTATCAGCCGCTATGTCTGAAGAGGGCAATGGTGGTGAAGAGCATCGTCCTGAGTCGCCGCGACTGCGAGTGGTATCGATGAATCATGTGCATGATGGTCCGATCGGGGTTTTCCGAGTTCCGCCACGCCTGCGCATCCATAGGCTCGTTCAACGTCTAACGTCCAACACTCAGAGTTCTCCTCCGCCCTGCCCCACGCGAACAGACGTTCTCAGTTCTAGACTCCCGATAGCCCATGATTGCTCCCCTTCTTCATCACACGGCGCTTGCTGAAGGCCATTGGGTTCTTTGACGACGTATAATGCTGGACGCGGGGATTGCCGTTTCTCCTTGTCTCTTTGTCCAGTCCTGGCAGTTATAAGACACGCGGCCTTAGAAAGCAGCGTTACTTGGCACTATTCTTCTCTCCAACTGCCGATATGAACCAGCTCGCGCCCCAGTTGCGCGACTCTTGCACCCACGATTGTGAAAAAGGTGCGCTGGTCGTCGAGGATATCCTCAGCACGTATTGACTGCTACATATCCATAGGCGACGCCCATCCCGTCCGTGGTATGGGATTCGGCACGGATGATTTACGATTCAGTGCGAAACAAGACCTACAAACGTCCTCCTTGATTCTGGAACATCCGCTATGTAGCCATTTTTTTGTAAGGCATTCCCGTGTACTATGTCCGCTATGACTGATAATGGATAGACTGCAATCCAAGCACATCTTCAGAGGCTGTTACGGATCTCCGACTGGGACGAACTCAGTTCATCGTCTCCTTGCCTCCGCATATCGACACCGGGGGAGGGGCCCGGTCGCCAAGACGACGTCGTCAATGTGTACACCGCCGTCACAGAGGACGCATTCCGCTTCGACATACGGCTCAAACACTCACATGCCTTCAATAAAGAGTCTCTATCCGTCTTTGTCGACTCCTTCCTGAAAGACGTGGCGGCTCAAGAACCTATTTGTCGCTCACCGTTACCTGGGATCTTCCTGCGCCGCAAACATGTCTTGGCAGCGGTGCAGGACGTCACGAAGGCGCTTCGACTCATCATACTGAAGAAGAGCGCAGCCGGGATTGAGGGCAGCCACGAAGCTGATTTGCGGATGCGGAAGCGGAAGCGCCGCGTATGTCATGTATCCTCTCCTCCGTTCGATACAGCCCAACTGATACTCTCGTAGTTATACCACGCTAGGCGCTCGGCTGTGGAAAGGGCGACGTCACAGCATCTTGAGTTGTTGCGGATGGCCGATCTAGAGGGCATCACGTCAGACGAGTTACCATACGACGACCCATGCAATCTCCCTCTGCAATAGGACTGTGCTGCTGATGCTGATGTCGTCAATGCGAGGGCCATCCGGATTCGGGCGCACAAAGAGGTTCACGGACCGGACATACGTTCTCATTTGCTCGCTCGCGATGTATATATTCTGTTGTGGCAAGGGACCAACTTCGTATATATATGTGTGTGGGGATTTTGGTTTAGGAGCCGAAGCTGGGGAGCTTCGCCACGACTTGACGGTATCCCGATGCTGGTCGGGCGGGAACACCATAACTTTTGGGAAAACCGCACGCGACGATACGGTGCGGTCCGTGGTCCGCAACTTCGGTGAGATTAGAATTCCGGAATGCGACACGAAAGAGAGAAGGGATCTCGTAGATTAGGTGTGTGATGTCGTGATTGTGATCGACTTGGGTGTGGTAAAGTAACGTGAGGAGGGCGGGAGATGCGACGGGAGCCAGCCGCGCTGCCGCAAGGAGGGCGACGTGATGTGTGTCGATCAACCCGTCGCGTATCCCGATGAACTCGCTCTCCTCGGCGCCAGAAGTGTGCACGCCGCACTCAAGACGGCGGTATGTCGCGCGCGGACTGGCGGGTTCGTCTGCGCTTGTTGAGCATGTGGTGGGAGCAGGGCTGCTTGATACTTGAGGTGATGTGAGTAGGTACTGTATGGCCGCGGGCGTTAAGCGTGACCGCACTGATCTGGCAGTGTCTCTCACCTGGAACACACGGACGACAAGCTGCATATATATCGCTCTCGCCGATGGGACTGCAAGTGCTTCCGAATCACGCTCGCCGACCGCCTGCAAGATTAGCATATCCGAGACACAACCGGTGCGAATCATCATGAATGACGCCAGATACAGCTATCGGCGAGCAAACTATGCTAGATGTGAAGAAGGTCGAAGAGCCGTGCCTGACAAAGCCTTGCACGCCACACGGACACAAGAGACAGGGTACAAGCGATGCTCTCACAAGCAGAGCAGAGGTTTCGACAATATGAGCGATTTGCTTCGTGAGCGTAACGGGCCCAACACACGCTACACCTGCATCCAAAAAGCCTGACGTTGCGGGCTGTATGGTGATAGCGCGCCTCGCTCGCGACAGGCGTTACACCCTGGTGGTTCCCTGGATGAACTATTCCTACTACGCATGGCCCGTGAAGCGTGAAGCTTGAAGCTGTCATACAAAGAGCTCGAGACAGTGACCGTCCAACGGCCGTCGTCCAGTCGACTGTCGGCAGCCGCTCCGACCCTGAGATCAGCTCGGAGTTCGCCGTGATGGCCGAAATCGTTGTTCTTTATACGTTACTTGATCTTAATCTGCGTGCCAAAGGATAAAGCCCTTTTGCTCGCACTATGTACTATTGAGTATAACCTTCGCTAGGTCGGGGTCATCCACGCGCAAAGAGGACACATTGGTGAATGTCGACTGTACGTGGAGGCAGTACGTTGCATGAGGTTCATGGGGACTCGTTCATAAAATCCTTAGTAGTAGTACTTAGTAGTAGTAGTAGTAGTAGGAGGAGGAGGAGGAGCACCACTATCGTCCCATTATCGCGGAACCGGCCAAGAGATGAGCGCGCGAGACTCAGAACGCGGCGAATGGCGTGGGGAACGGATGGTCACCGGACCGTAGGCTCTTTCACCCGGGCGACCACCATGCTCTCCGCCTCTGAACCATGCATGTCCTACCGCTGAACCTTCTGAAAACCATGAAACCGCCGTATGGGTGCCATCAGTACTTCCGTGGACGTCTCAGTCTCTACGACTCCCTTATCGAACCAGAGCGAAAGATGCCGAAAAGCGCATGCCTGTATGGGACGGCATTTTCCTGCCGCTCTTTATTCTCTTTTGGCGACGATCCGGAGTGATGCGGTCTCCGCAAAGATCGGCATACTCCTCCTACAAAGAGCATGTCGAGAATCGGCGCATCCGGAACGCGATATATTAAGCGAAAGATAGTTGGGTACACCCTTCAGTCTTGCACAGTCCAACATCCTTCTGGGAACCTGATGTTGCTCCCTCCTATTCGTCTCCGTTACGACACCATCAGTCTACAGGGTACACTCTTTGAGGACGTGCGCGACTTTTCTAGTAGCCACATAGATGCCGATGTGTCAGCGTTCTTCGTCGCAAACCCAACTCAGGCCGCGGCCAACGTACGGGAGTTATACCGTCACCGGACACGGTCCCGCGTCAATTCGGAGTTGAACAGTCACACTCGCATTCTCCTCGATTTACTCAGGTTTCCCATGGACACCACACCTTCCGATACGGATTGCAATCGAGTTTTACGGGTTATTGAGGACTACAATGTCCTCTCACTACTCGTGGAAGTGCTGTCAGAAGATGACTTTCTCGAAGAGGATTCGGTGAGCATCTATCCGCGCATAAACTAGATGATCCTCTAAGAGACTTTTCACCAAGGACTTTGTTATCACCGTTCTCAACATCATCTACCATGTCTTTCTGATTGCCCATCGCGTTTCCTCTTCAAAGGATCCACGTTTCATCGTCCTGTCTTCTGCATTTTGCAGGGGCATGGAGCGATGCCGTTTGTGGTTTGAGGCAGACCGGGTAGCAATAGCTGGCACATCGCTGTATCAGGCCAACCGACAAATTCGCAGAGCTCTTCTACCCAATATACTGGTGCTGCTGGCTGAGTTAGTGGCGTACATATCATCTTTCACTAGCCGAAATGAGCTGACATGCTCCAGGGACTTCTTCCTCGCTACGCCAAGCCTACTCAAACTCACACTCCTATACTGGATCACAAGTCCCTGCGTAGACAGTCTCAAGGACACGGATCCCATCGTATCACTCGTCCTGCTCCAGTACGTGCTGGCGGAAGACAAGACGCAATGTAGTACTATTTGCGAACTCCGGGAAGCCTTCCGTTCTTCGATTAGCCAGCACATCCTTCCGACGTACGGGGCTGACCGGTTCTTGGATCAGACGGCGAAGATGCTGCGCAATGAAGGTTGTATCAGCGATGATGCTATGGGGTACCTTCTTCCCATCGTCGTGACATCGATTACAAGCCATCCGGCGCTACTCACGAGTTCAACATTGTCCGACGTCCTCGAGGCAATGCTTGAACTCACTGCCCAGCCGCCCGTGAGGGCGGCTCACCGTCTAGAACGCCGTGCAGTATTCGAGTTCCTCAATATATGCTTGTACGCGATGCACTCTACGATGACTTCCCGGGTTGACACTATCATAGGCATATCTTACGAGTCAGACAAGATGACCGTGCGATTAGTCCCCCCGTAGCCACCATCACCCGCCATGGGCGACTCTTTCAGGTCCTGTCGCGTGGGCTCTGCATCTTTGCCACGGAGCCTCTCGTTGTCACAGAGTCTGGAGCGCGTCAAGAGGGTTATGGTTAGTCAACAATGCATAACAAGGTAGAGCTGATACAGACCTTGATACAGCCACCTGTATGGAGTATTTGGCCACTTTCGGTGCATGGGCTTTGGCACTGAATACCAAGAGAACCGGAAATAGACCGCGCAAGGCTATGAGACACGTACTGCGAAGAAACTGGTACCCGACCCTGCAAGTCCTGCGCAGGACCCGCGATCACTCGCAGTACGTGAATGAACACGACCGTCTGACCAACTCCTGGGGTGGACTTGGTGACGTCCTGGGAATCAGAGAGGACGATATTGAGGCGGAGACATCTCAGGAAACCGAGCTCTGTGCATGGAGGGGCTGTCTCAACCACTACGCGCCTACTGGGCAGGATGTCAAGACTTGCAAAGGCTGCGGGGAAGTCGTACGCCCCCTCGCTCTCTAGCCGCATGTAGACACCTGACCGCGTGCGTAGAGTTATTGTGACCGTACCTGTCAACGTTTGGACTGGAGCAACGGTCACCGACGTGAATGCAGGCGACTCGGTTGGTTGGACTAGAGGCTCGCATAAGAATACCTCGATGGGCACGGCATATGCACCATGCACCATGCACAATGTACTATGTCCAGCAGAAGTCTCAGACTACATGCTCAAATCAGTTATATTTGCACTTCTTAGAGGATTCGCGCAGCAACGTAATATGAGAACTTGCAGACCCGCTATCTTATGTCGCCCATGCGGTTTGTAAGTCCGCGAAAAGGGAAGTGGACCGCAACGGAGGAGAGGGTGAGAGGGGGATAGAGCGAGGAACGACAACGGCCCTACAGGGCGAAGGAGGTAGCGAGGCTGTAGGGAGTGGGGATGGTATGAGTGCGCATGCGGGTAAACTTCAGGGAACAATGTAGTTGTGGGAAGGAACGGAGCGAGATCGATGTGTATGAACGCAAGCAGTATGGGAAGCAAGCCGGCAAATGAGCGAACACGAGGAGTAGATCGCGGGAGATGAGTGTATACAACAGCGAAGATGCAGCGGATGGCTACGTAGACATGCGGTGTAATGGCTATGAAGAGCGGTTGAGTCAAAAAGTAAGGGCTAGGAGCGTGCGAGGGAGTAATACGCGGGACGTCTGGAGGGAACGGACAAGGATGGGGCACACTGGACGACGAGGGGCCGTGGGCCGATGAGGTGATGAAGACAATGGATCTAAGTAGGCCCACGACGATGTTTGATTGATCTACTGATACAAGGAAGCGCATAAGCATCCCATGCTCTATGAAAGTAGCAACGCGCTCACAGCGAAGGATCTCGCCCAAAGGGGTAGAGAAGGGCCATCGAACTCCTTGCTTATAGCACGCGCCTCGCGGGCTTAGCGTTATTCGGCACGAAAGTAAATCGGTTCGACCTGCGTTCGCACCTCATATGCTCGCTAGCCTATATCTCGGACCACGATACGCCGGGTGGACCAAAGTTTGATTGTTGCGTTATTACCGCGCCAACAATAACGGCGCAATCCACGACGGGATGCCTTGCGTGACGAATCCCGCGTGGCCGTTGATATCCTTCAGGCGCTTCGGGACACCAAGATGCAAGACCGTGCAATTAACTATCGGGGAGGTCGAACCGCCAAGTACTCTTCGTGTCGCTCATCGAGATGCACACCGGAAGGTGCGCGGGGGTCCTGCAACACAGTGGTTAGGGAGCTCTGTCTCCT